AGAAAAAATAATGACACCCTGGGTGCTATCTGTAATAAAACTGCGTCCCCTCCTGATTGAGAGCTCGAGTATTCGAAGTTTTTAACTCGATCGAGCACCAGAAACTGTCATTAATAAATAAAGGACTTCTCCCCCCTGGGTGAGGAGCTCGTGGCCAGGGGGACCTGGTTTGGCAGTGTGGCGCTGGCCGGTGTCTCCAGGTGGCCCCGGGTCTTGTGTCTAGGGCTCCCCCTTGTTCAGTCGTTTAGGACAGTAATGATGTTCTCTGAAGGGAGTGCACAGGCGGGCACTCACCCCCAACCATCCATGCCGCTGGTAAAATCGGATTAAGCGGTCTTAGACCCCCCATGGATCTCCATTTTGGCGTTACAAAAAAAAACACTTTTCTTCTTACTAAGTACCTTGGTGCGCGCTTGCTTAGATTGTTTAGAGGAGTACCTTGTTCTCTAAAATACTAAACTTGACTCTCTTGAACTATGAATAAGCACATTTTCAACGGTTTTGGCTTACAAACTTCTGTAAATGCCTATGATGTAATTCGCCCTTTTCAAAATCGCCTTGCAACTAAAATACTAAATATAAATACTACCAAGTTATCAGTAATTTGTATATATTTATAATGAAGATTTAGCATAGAATCCATTAATTTTTTTAATACAAATGAATATATATGTATATATATATGTATATATAAATTTTATAAATAATAGAAATTGGGGAACTAAATTTTTTTAAAAATGATGTCTTATACATATTTTTATGGCAATAAAAATCTTATAGTGAAAAAAAAAAATTAATTAATATATATATTGAAGACTATAGATATTCCTATATTTCGCATATTTTTTATAAAAATTAGTATTTCAAAAAAATAGTAACTCTAAAGAGTTTTTTATAAACCACTCCCTTTAATATCTGTGACATATAGTACGTATAGGGTATACTTGCATATAATTTCGGAATAGGTATTAGTAGGGAAGGTTAAATAAAAACTAAATTCATTGTTATAATTTATTATTTTGAAGGAGACCAGAAACGGCAAGTAAAGTTTCCAACGTAATCAAAATAGTTGCAGTATATCAACATTGACACTTACCAGTTTCAGCAGCCTTCATTCCCCAGCACTTCGACGACTACCTCTAAACAGAAAAACTGGAAGAAAATTTAAAAACGAACCTCGTGAAGGCTCTAAGTAGTAATCCAAAAAAAATCAGCCAGCATTTTCTATTGGTTCACCGGTGTTAGACAGTTTAACCAATCCGAGATATTTAGCGTTACAATCACAGAAGGGGATAGAAGAGTAGCGATTATTCAAGTCAGCATTTGAAAGCACTGAGAAAAAAGGATCAATCGGTCTGTTATAATTGCTCATGTACGAATAGTTTATTATTAATAAACAACTATTAGAATATAAAGAAAATTTAAAAGTTGAGACTTAAAAGTATTAGAGTATCTACCCCAATTGCTATCCGTATATAAGATAATTATTAAAAAATGATGCTCTTTTTGGTTATTTTCTCTTAGCTATATAACGACTACTTTTCTTTAAATCGCTTATATTGTTAATATTATACAAGATTTTTTTATATGTTTATAAGTTAACTAGCTTCTCAAGTCGACCAGTGCGTATAACATCAAAAAATGCATTAAAAACGTAATTATTTTTTTTCTTAGGGGGCACATTAACTCTTAGAGTTTACTTTGTTTATAATTAGAATATATAATTATCTTGCTATGTATAATTCTTATACTCACTATTTTACTAAAGTTTATTGCCCTAACCAAGCTAAAATTTTTGAGTTCGTCATTGGATTTTTTATAATTTGCGATGCTATATAAATGAGTAATAGGGCGGTACTGTGTGTTTAATTTACTATACCTAAAATGGTTAATACTTCTTACAATTTAACTTTTTTTACATCTTTTGGTTCAGCGTTTTTATGTGCTATCTTTTTTTTTAAAAAAAAATAGTAATAACATAGGAAGCTTTTGACTAATGGTATTAAAAAATTTAAACCTAAAATACTTCGCACTTATAAAAAAAAAATTTGTATAGCTCTTTGAAATAAATCTTTTTTGGCTTAAACTATTAATTTTACTTATTAATGTATATCGTCATGGTGCTCCGAGTTAAATACTTCGAATAAACGAGCTCGTAAGCTAACTTAGTCTTCCACAAATGCAATTTAATGTTAAATGTGTTCTGCGTTTAGCTTCCAACTACTACGCGAAGAGTGCAGTAACCGGATGCTTTATAGCGCGCAAGTGAGTTCTTCCGCTAAAAAATGAATAGCGTTGCAGCTTTGAAGATTGTTGATGCAGTGGTGTATCAATGCGCACAAACCACGGTGCATTTGTTAAAAGGTGAAATATTTTTTGTTACATATGCCATGATCGGTCAAATGCAAAACACATATAGCCTTCGCAGGTAAAGAGAAATTAGAATTTCACGAAGAAACTTCAACTACTCAATATTGAATCATGCAACTATTGTGTAAAGAATTATATAGATATTGTCTGAATATTTTTTCTTTTACTCTCTACACAATAACGCTCGCTGCACATTAGAGGAATAGTCTCTGGGTTGAGGGATATCCGTGCCATTGGAAAATGATGTTGGTAGTGCAAAGCGTTCTTTGTTAAATAAAATGCTTTGTATTTTTGCTGCTTTTATGGAGAAGATCCTAATGGCGACGCCAGCTAGCAAGCGCACTGGGATAGTCTGTCAAGGCTGCCTTAGTAGAATGAGTCCCTTGACGACGAAAAAACCTTCGACTTTAAAGCTGAACCACATTTAAGGTGTCCCCTCTCTAGCACAGATTGCAAATAGCAATCAGTATTAGAATAGTAAATATATAATTTAGTTAGAGCTTCTTTATGGTGGATGTTCACTTCTTGACAAAAAGAAAAAACATAAATTAATTAATATTAATTGGGTGAACTTAACATTAATTTGTAAATAATTTGTTTTCTATACAATTGCCCATAAAAACTTTTTCTACGCTTAGGTAACAAATTTATTTTTCTACATCTTTCACCGTAGTTTCTTATTAAGAATACTTGGTTCAACTTAATTTGTCCTGATAGAAGGGTTACTGCGAAATATTTTAAAGATAAAATTTTACCAGGCATAAGAAGTAAACCAGAAGAAAAACTTAATAGTAGAATTAAAAAGCTGTAACTCCTTGAGGCGTTGAACGAAGTTCAATAGTTTTTAAAGCAAACGCGAATATATGTATTTGTAACATAAAAAACTTATTGAAGAAGTTTTTTTTAGGAATTTAAGGTCGTAAACTTTATGAGAAGTTACTCTTTTTGAAAAAAGACAAAAGATATGTTAATGCTATTACTCTTCCTTTTATGATATATATTTTTTAGAATAATAATATGAAATAAAGAGCGAGTTATGCAACTAATATTAGGGGAATGCAACACTAAGTCCTTTTTTTTTTTTTCTTGTCAGTAATAAAAGCTATAAAAGTTTTTTTATTATTTATTTTTATTAAAATTTAATAAGAGCTATCTTTGTATCAAAACAAAAAATAGTGGTCTATTGCGTTGCTCTGTCACATAAATAACTATAAATCTAAATAATGGCAATATGTTTGTACCCTTACTTTCAGCATTTTAAAGCAGGTTTAATACAAATGATAACAGCACTTTTTGTTATTTTAAAGAGAAAAAAGAAATAGTTTTTAGGATTAATAGCTAAGCGGTATCTCTTTGAAATTGTACTAATTATGGTCGACTTACGATCAAGAGCGGTCCCCTTTAAAAGTTATATTTCCACTTGAGTTAAAGTGTACGTCAACCTTTTATTAGCGCCCACATCTAACTTTGTAATTACATTACTTTATCTAGTTTTGTAAATTGCTTTACATTTTATTCTTATATATATTATTCACTTTAACTCTGTTATTCTTTCAGTTTTTTATTTTTTTATACACATGATAAGATTTAAATTTAAACTTCACAAGAAATTTTAGTGAATAAGTAAGGATGTAATTCCTAAAGGCCAGTGCACCTCACACTTCGCTTCAAATAATAATAAAAGCTTTATAAAAGTTGATGGGATGAACTAGTACAATCACTATTATAAAAATTGGCGCCACCAACATTTTTTTTCTTGTTAAAATTGTTTAAGAGGCAATATTCTATTCTTTTCTAGAATTTTTTTATTGAAAATTTCGTTTAAGATGAAGATTAACTAAGGTTTTAACGTAAGAATAAATTATTTTTAATTTTATAAATAGATTTTCTTTATAATCTTTTCTACGATTTATTTCATTATTACCGCTCCTCTTTTATATATTTTTAGATGGCACTAATTACTATGCCTTATTAAAAGTTAATAAGGCGTAATTAATAAAATCGCTTTAAGAAAAAGTGACGCCACCAACATTTTTTCCTTGTCAAGTTTTTTTTATAAGTGGTGTTCGCCTGTTCTTATCTCAACCTTAAATCTTTTAGTAGTAAACTTAGATTAAGCAGGTAGAGATTAAGCGAAGATTTCACCGTGGAAGAAAAACAATTTTATCAAACGATTTTTTTAATTACCTTTTTTTAATTATTTTATAACTTCGCGCTACCAATTATCTATTTTACAGCAAGGCAAGCACTACTTGTTGAAAATTTCTAGATGACTTCTTCCTTTTGAAAAAAAATTTAAATCTACAAAAATACATGAAAAATAGGAGGAACTAAAATAGGTTATCCGAATTTTTAATTGCTAATTTCTTTCATAAAATTATGCAAAGCAACTTTTTAAAAAATTTACAGTTATTATAACTATTAATATTATCTTATATATAAAAGAACTTCAATGCAAAATCTGTGATGTAGTTAAATCTTTTTACTACTAACTTCGGCCTGATTATTATGGTAACTTATGAAAAATTTTGATAATAGCTATTTAGAGAGACCATTGTAAAAATTTATATTATAGAAATTAAAATTGTCGTAAGAATGAAATATGCATAATTTATATTTTGAAGATTTTTCTAAAATTTGAAAAAAAACATCCTAACGGGTTCGACCTTCTTCAAGTAGCTTAAGATCTCTTTCTTTTTTTAATTTCATAAAGGTCTCCTCGTCCATTTCCAAAAATGTTTCTTGCTTTAACGCTCGAAACGTATACAAGTAAATAACTAAAAATATAGAATAATTTAACTTGTAATTGTGTATAATTATAAGCCGTATAATAAAAATAAAAAAACTTCGCTAAAGAAAATATACAAGTACAAAAAGATTTTTATATAAATTTAAAGCAAGATTAAACTAAAGCACTTTTCTTTAAAAAAAATTTATAAATTAATTTTTTAAAAATTTAAAGGACTTTTTAAATTTTTTTTTTTCGTAAAAAGTTTATAAGAAACGAATAAAAAGTTATAAAAGCTGTAAATTTGAGCAAAGTATAAATGCTGAAATTAAAGTTAAACATGAAGTTTCTTTCAAATAAGTAATACATACCTAAACAAAAACCAGTAATACTAAGCGCAAAAAGACGAGCCTTCTTTAATCTCTGTGTTTGTAGTTATAAAAGTAACATTATAGATATACTTTATAAAAAAATAAATTTTAACTATGCAGCAAACTTAAGTATTATTTTATAAAACTTGATAAATTTTGAAATTATAATTATTCTACAAAATGAGTCAATAACGCTGAAGAAAATTTAATAAGGGTGTTCTTATAAAAAGTGTAACAACAAAAGGTAAAGGTATATACTTCGTAATTTAAGAATGCTTTCTAAAAAAAATTCATAAAGTGATAATCTTATACATAAAAAACTATTAATTTAAAGAATTGTAAGAAAATTTACTTCGTCAGACAAACCCGCAAGATGTTTATCCTTACCTATTATTAGCAAATATAAAACTTTTTTAAAACTTAAAAATAAAATTAAAGTATTAAAAACATACAAAATTGTATTGAACTGCTGTAATTCTTTAATCCGACAGCACCGAAAAGTAAACAAGATTGATGTAATGATAAATTTACTAATGAAATTATAAAATTTTTTTTTACTCACTTATTAAACAGTTAATGTTCTGTAGAGGGATATATAAGAAAGACAAAAAGGTAAAAGTATATGTAATGGCAGAAGAAAAATCAAGAAAAGGAGAAGTATTTAATAACTGTTATACCAGTTTTAAATGGTATAAAGAAAGTTTGGAACATGGAAAACTATTAAGGCGGAAGTGCAAAGATTTAAACTTATAAAAACTAATGCAGAGTAGCTGCAAGCCCTCTCGGTCACCTGGAGTAGGGTTTGGTCTACACCAAACTCTTATAAGGTGGGCTTGCCTGCTGCATAAAACATGTAAAAGTTTGGATAAACATAATAGAATGGTAGTAGCATATTTAGTGAAAGTTAAGTACTTTAGAAAATATTAATAAGTAATAGTATGATAATCCTTTACAATTTAGAACTTCGACATACATATCAAATACATAATTATTATTAAAACTAAGACAAGTAGCTTTTTTTTCAGGAAATCGTTATTAATCCCTGTTTATTATATCAGAAGCAAAGCCTTCATAAGGCAAAGGAACTTGTTGCAAAAAGTTTGTTAATGTTTTGATTATTGAAAAGGAAAATTTATAATTATTAATATCACAAGATTTTTAAAGATAAACGTAAATTAATAATAAAAACTTTGGTATTTTTTTGAGATAACTTTTACGTGATAAAAATGTTAAACCTCACTTTGCAGACTAGTTTATTTTTAAAAAATCGTTATCTGACCTTCAAATAAAAATTACTGAGGTCAACTCTGTAAAGTGTAAACTAAATAATGCAATTTTTTAATTAAGCGTTATTGTGGCAAAAGTTTGGTAACAGCCTTGCTAAATGTAGATGTAATTAGTCAAACGTTTAAGCAGTTTTATAGAGGTTGCGCGCCGGAATATTCCTATAATTCTACTACTATTCAACACAAAGATATTTATATATTTAATAAAAATATCCTTTTTTTTAAAAAAAAATATAGTTATTTATATTAAAAATCAGCTTCTTCCTCAAAAGTGCCCAAATCTTAACTATACGCCTTAGTCTAAGGTTGTATTTTTAAGCCAATAAAAAAACACCAAAATCTCATCTAAACTAACTTTTTTTATTAAAACCTTTGTAAAAACAAAAATTGCTAAGTATGTGCTATATTTCAAAATTTAATTAGACAAAGTACTCTTTATAAGCTATTAAAAGGAAGTTTAGAAGACGTAAACCCTAGTGTTTTCTTTTAATTCTTATTATCATAAGTGTGAAAGCCGTATAAATTACCAAACTTTAAGTATATTTTGCTTTACTCTGCAGGGCGGTGCGCTAAAAAATACTTTTTATCATATCCTCGAGGAAGCAAAAAATTTTCATGTTTTCTCAGCGAGTGGTGTATAGAGCTGCAATTCCTATTTTCGTTTAAGGTAAAAAACTAAATTTTCATCAACGCCTAATAGTTTCTTTCAAAGTAATAATGCCATCAAGTTCTTGATTTTAAAAAAAATTTAGATATCAGCTAAATTATTTATCTGAGAGTCAATATATACGTTATTCGGTTGTAAGTATGAAGTTTATAAGAAGTGCAGCTTTGATAAGCTTTGGGAATTATTTTAAGAATAATATTTTAAAATTGATGCGTTATTCGTTGACCCAATAAAAAATTAACTTGCGTGGCTTAATTTTTCTAGTTATATTAAATTGAACTTAAACTTTTTGCATAATGGTTAACTGCTAAGCAAGGATCACTGGGCACTTTTTGAGCGGGTATATCCTTTATAATATTATAAAACATCCCTTTTTTCCTTATATACCCATAATAATTTTTTGGTAAATTCTATTTTTCTCAAATTTTAATTTAGCTTTACGTTTACTTGTCACGTCGTGCGGTTTTGGGCTTTTTTAAGTTTTTAAATTAGATTTTAAGTTTTTATGAATTTATCTTTTCAATGTAGGTTAGCTTTTAATTATTATATTAATGAACATTAACTTTTAATCTTTTTCATTATTTGTAAAACACCTTAGTTATTTTGATGACCTTATATATCACTTACTATTAAGTGGAGAATACTAACTTACGTGAATACCCATGTGTACTTTTTAAAAAACTTTTTTGGTTATAAAAACTACATCATCCCCTCTACTTATATTATAATTTTGTTAAGCTAAAGTATTAGTAATCTTCTATTTTGGCATAGGTTCATACATATATTAGTTAATGACAGCGAACCAGTTAGAAGACTCGTCAGACACTAATTCAAGTTATAAAGTTGGGGCATCCATAATTCAAACTTATTCTTCATCAACAATTAAAAAAATTGATCAGGAAGTCCCGATTTCTTCCGACTTTCTTACGAAGAACCCTGCTAAAATTACGTGTCCCCATTGTTGTAGAATTGTTACTACTACGGTAGAGTATCAGTCTGGATGGCCTCCTTGGTTAGCTTGCGGAATTACTTTTCTTTCAGGATTCTGGTTTTGTTGTTTTGTTCCTTTTGTTATTGATAGTTTGATGGATATAGCTCATAAGTGTCCAGTTTGTGGTTTTGTTATTGTTGTGATTCCTTGCGTAAATTTAATGTAAACAATAAAAATTAAAATTATACTATTTGATTTTTTTTATACTTTGATTTTAATTATTTATTTACTTTATTCTGTACTTGTCCTTTATTTTATAATAGCGCTATTCTGATTTTTTACTATTAAGTTTAAATTTTGTTATTCAGTTAACTCTCAGTGATAATTTTCTGAAACTGTTATGGACTATTTCATACTTTTTCTATAGTTATGATTATTTATTATATAGCTTTTCCATTCCCGTACATATCAATCTCCTCTTTCTTTATTTTATGTTAGCGCTATACTTTTTTATAAATTTAAAATTTTTAGTTATATAACGTCTAGTGCTTAACTTTTATTCAACTCTATAGATTTTTAATTATTTTTACTATTAATCCATTTTTAAAAACTTGGGATTCACTCTTTAACTTATTAGCAATACGATCTCTTTTTATATGTATGTGGCTTTGTTGCATTATTTAAGTTTAACAAAGGTACGAGGGTATCTTTTAGATACTTAAATATTTGCGTCTATTGAACCCAGCAATGTTTCGTTTGCAAGGAAATTATAAAGTAAGATGGCCTTTTTTTTTAAGTTGGACGAATTTGGGGTATATTTATTGCCTAATATTGAATCAATAAGCTTTTATTTTATAGGTTATTACTTTTAAGAAAATATATTATATGATATTGTAATGTAACATCTCTTTTGGAACTAACTAGAAAGAAGTATTGTAGTTTTTTGGTGCAGAAAAAAGTATCGTAAAAATAGTTTATCTATAAAAGCATTTATTGGGTTACTTATAGATTTATAAAGTTTTTTTAGGATTTAACTTAAGATCTAGCTGAGGATGTAATATATCCAGTAGTTATAAAAATAGAGTTTAATGTCGCCAACTGGAATATATTTGTTTTAAGAATTTTTATTCTAAATTTTTTAAAGTTTCTTAAATATGGTTAGCTTCCCCTTTTTCTTATCAAAGACTTCTTTTCAAGTCGATTCGTTTTTTTTTTTTTATTATACTTCTCTTTGTTGTAGTTTTTGGTTCAACGTTAGCAGAGCGAAGTTTCGTAGTTTTTTATAATCTACTTCTAACTTGGATTCTTTTGTTCAATTTTTTTTTGGCCAATTTGCAGCAAAAGGCCTAACTTATGATGTGAGCATCTTTGAAGGCTATTTAAAAATATAGTAGTAATGCTGAGTCGAATCGGCCTTAATAATCTATTAAATTCTTTAGAAAGAAAGCAATATAGAATAAGTCTCAAGGTTTTACAATCGCGCAAAATCTATAAAACTGTTATGTCTAAAATAGTTATAAAGTACATCAGAAGGAATATCAAGATTTTATTTGTATAAAAGTTTGAGGTAAATTAGTTTTTTGTACTAATATGTAATAAGAAATTTCAAGTTTAGTGACGTGATTTTTATTTACACTTTTATGTACTTTTATCGTAAGCTCTGACAAGCTACCGTTTCGATTTTCAAAGGTTGTTCAAAGTTAAATCTCTACTTTTTTTCAAGGAAAGTCTTAGCAGAATGCAATTCAAGATTTACCCCTCAGTAGAGTAAAATACTGAAAAATACAAAGCACCAGAACACAAAATCAATTAGTCAAAGAAAGTTTCTCTGGTTAACTAAACAGAATAAAGAAAAAGTTATATATAAAATTGACCTTTAAGGCAGGTAAAAAGTTGAAAAAAAAATGATTTGTTGCATTTAAACTTGAAATAATAATAAAGAGGAATTTTTTATTTTATTTTAGAGCTAATAAAAAATGTGTTTAATTTATGCATTACTCTCTCTTAAAGATAATCATTTTAAAACATTTTAGTTAACTGCACAAGGAGAGGAAATAAAGGGAGTTAAACAAAAGTTAGGCAGTCATATCGTGGGTCACTTCCTACCCAAAGATTTCGACTTAGTAATGGGGTGGAAGAATTGAGAAAGTTTGATATTAAATTAGTGAATTTCTCTGAAATACCATATATTCTAAAATTAAATTAAATTACAAGAAATTAAGGTTTGTAAACAAGTAGAAGACATAATATTACAGGAATTCGACCAGATTCAAAAAATTAGGTGTGTTCATAGTAATTCTTTGTTTCTATTAATAAAGAATAAAGTAATATTGTTTAGTTCGAATAAAAATATATTATTTCTTAGAATATTTTTAATATTTTTTTTTTTTTAAATTAATATTATCTTATCCGATAATTTTATATTTTCTAGTTTTATAATAATTATTACTACGCAATATTTTTTTCATTATTATCAGGAGCCTGGTTAGTACTGTGCTGGTTGACCACGGAGACTACGCTAGAGAAACTGGTCATGCAAGGTGCAAATGATGGAAAATGTATGCGATTACTCCTAATTAAGAGCTCTAGTATTAAAAGTTGTTAACTCAACCAAGGACTAGGAAAGTCATAGGCATACAATAATAACTGATAAGAACCGACCTTCTTCGTTGGCCCCCGGGGTGGGCTGCAAACCGCCTGCTCTACTTTCAAATGAAGCTACTTGTTGAATATCTTTAGTTTTTATTTTTATTTTTTTAATTAATGGTATATCCTGGTGCTCGATCCTGTCGTACAAGAAAACAAAGAATTTACGAGCTCATATATATGTACTAAAAATAATTCTACTAATAATCCATTTTATATATTTAGAGTCCATTCCGCCGTCAGCGATAGCGGGACAGACCCAATTTTGTAGTTTAGCTCATTTGTCAGTAATCAATTGGTGTGCTGGCTGAAGCCGTTCGTAGGTAGTGATAGCATTGCGTCAGAAAAAGCTACCCATAGGTTCAATCTGGAAGGCTTTATGTAAGGCATCGTTGAGAACAAACCACAGCGCGCCCGTCATAAGGCGTAGCAGCTTGTTTTGTCTCAGTCGTAGGCCCAGGCAGTAGACGCATATGTCATCATCGACCAGACGCACAACAAATACAAGCGTCGTTTGTTGTGCAGGAGAGTTTGCTAAGAACACAAAGTAAAGAATAACGACTTTGAACCGCCGACTTGACCTTCGCCGCCAATATAGTTTACGTGTGGTCGCCTCGAGAGCTTATAGTCAATAATGATATACAGGAATTCGTCTGAGGACACCAAGGAATTACCTTATTTTCAAAGACCAGTGGTGGTAGTGATGTAGTGCGCTTCTTTGTGATAAAAAGTGCTTTACTCTTTGTAGCTTTAGTAGTAATTTTTCAAGATGACTCCAGCTGGCAAGTGTCACTAGGTAGTACTTTAGATGCTGGCGTAATAAGCCAGGAGACTATGACGAGGAGTAACTCGCCATGTCATCCGCATATAAGGCAATCCGCGTGCGGGGTCCGTCTGGCTGTGTCACGTCGCGTAGATAAAGTGCAAAAAGAGGTAGGGGTGGTAAAAGAGATCCTTGTGGAACTCCGGTTGTTAGTCTTCTTAGAGGTAAGCGCGCATTGGCAGCCCGTGTATCAAAGACGCGTCCTCAAAGTAAGATTTCATCACGTTAAAAAGAATAGTAGGAAGAGTTATGGCGCGTAATTTTTAAAGCAAGCCCCTGCGCCAAACTCGGTAATATCTTTTATTGATTGCTGAAGTTTAAATTATACCGCATGTGAAAGCGAACACCACAAATGCCAGAATTTATAGAGTAAATTATAATGTTTAATAGTGATAAATATTTTAATAAAATGCAAAAGAAGCTTTCGAAATCGTTAACCATCTCAATATTTTATTTTTATAGATAAAAAAATTGTTTATTATATTAAACATCTAAAGCGTTGAAAGGTTAACTTTGTTAAAAAAAAAAATAAAAACAGATTTTTACTAAAAATTTAATTTCAATAAAAAAAATTATAAGGATAGTATAGTTACATAATTTGTGCTTCAATGCCTTTTTTAAATTTGTACAACAGAAATACGCTAATAAGCATTTTAATCTTTTCGTAACTATCCTCTTGCCTCCCTCCTTCTTCAAACAATATATTTTTTTATTTGTATAAACTCTATTTTTAAAAAAAGAAGAAATTAAGGAGTCATAGTTATCATTGGCCTAATATAATTTTCTTACACCGTTATAAAAACAATGAGAATTTAAAAGGATTAAAAGAAAGTGACTGCCTCTTGGAAATAAACATGGCCGCTTTTATAAAATAAGCACAAAAAACCCTAGTTAACTAACGTCTTTAATTAGATTTATAAAACAGAAAGCATATTTAAGTGAAGCTAAGAAAATTTCAAAAGCCATAAAATTAAATCTATATTCTTTAGTTATACAATAAAAACTCAATCTTTAAAAAGCAACAAACCAGCGTTTAAAGCATTTTATTTAAAAAAGTTGTTTCAAAAAAACGAGAAATAAATTTAATTTTATTATCCTTAAGTAAAAGAATATTTCAATTTAAAAAAATAAATAAATTAAAGTTAGCCCTTATTGTTTTTGGTTAATTATTTTATTAATACTAATGTACACCATAAAAATATACAATTTGAAAGTAGTAGCAAAAGTAATATATAACATATAATTAACAAACAATAAAATTATTTCAATTTTTTTACATTTATGCCTCAATAATTAATTTGTGAGTTGTCATAACTTTATAAAAATATTATAATATACAGGATTTAAAATAAAAAATTAATTCACAATCAGGAAGTTAATAAAAGCAAAAAACATAATCATATTAAATTAGTGTGCGGCAAGCGTATGTAACATAGTAGCAGAGAAATTATTTCATGAAGGTTAACAAAATATCTTACTACTAATCTATTTCTGAATTTGTGATTTATTGTAGCTTTATAATATATTATTATAATAAACAAAAAAAATTTGGGATAAAAAAAGTAGGAGCAAAAGTAATGTATACTCAGAGACAATAAAAAAAAATTCTAACTTTATTATTAGCGTGCAGCAAGAATTTGCAGTATAGAAAGTAGTAGCATAGTGAAATATATTACGAGAAAGTTAACAAACAGTCTTACTACTTTTCTACTTTTAAAAATCGTGATTTATTCTAACTTTATAATAAGCAACTAGAATTATAAAAAAGTAGTAGAAGAAGTAATTGATAATCAGAAACTTAAATGAATACAACAAATTTTCTAGAGCTGTTCAGGAACTAAAAAGATAGTCAAAAAAGTTTATCCGCGCGAAAGTCAGGGATTGTGCATCGCACGTGTTTTTAAAGTCTTTCTGCAGACTTTGCAGTTTTTAGCATAGCAAGCCGCTCGTTTTCTTATTATTAGAGTTATGGTAATTTTTTTTAAGAATAATAGTTTATTATTAAGAAACTGTTTTCGAAAGTTTATAATTATTGATAGTTTATATATAAATATATATTTGGTATTATATTTTCAATTTTAATTTCAGAACAACTTGCAAACGATTAATATCTTCAACGATCAAGCAACTTCTGAGCGGGGAGAAGAGGCTCGTCTTTCATCTTTTGTCGGAGCAATTGCTATCGGAGACTTGATTAAAACTACTTTAGGACCGAAAGGGATGGTAATAATTTTTATCTATTTATAGGTTTATTTTTATATAAATTATTTTAATCTTTTTAAGGATAAAATTTTACAATCAAAAAATGATTTGAGTTCTAAAGGTGAAGTAAAAGTTACCAATGACGGGTTTGATATTATTTTTAAACAATTGTTATTAAAAAAATATATATTTTTTATAACTTTTATATTATTATTTATGTTTTTTATTTTTTCTATCCAATTTTTTTGTAGGGCTACTATTCTTAAATCAATCCCTTTGGATAATCCAGCTGCAAAAATTTTAGTTGGTAATAAATTTACATAAATCTTGAATCTTTTTAAACTTTTTCCTTTTTTTTTATATTATTTATATTATCATTTTAAATAGACATTTCAAAAGTTCAGGATGATGAAGTTGGAGACGGCACTACTAGCGTAGTGGTTTTGGCTTCAGAATTATTAAAAGAAGCAGAAAAACTCGGTGATCTTTATTTTTATAATTGATTATAGAAATATAAGAATTTTTTAAATATTTATATAATTTCTTTAAATATATTATAAATTTTTTTGTAAATTTTAGTTTATCATAATAATTAAATCAATGTACATTTAATTTTTTATTTTAACAATTATTATATTACGAATTTTTTGTGAATCTATTTTTTTTAACTATATTTATTTAAAAAACTTTATATTGATCTCACTTTTTTAATTATATATATGTTGACTCCATTTTATTTAATTAAATTTTTTAAATGTAAAATTTAAGTGACTGCATTCGAATTATTTTTTTATATATATTTTATTATAAAAACTTTAAGTGAACGCAATTTTTATCAAATCTTTTTTTTAATTATTTGTAATTCTAATTTTACTTTTATTTCATATTATTATTAAAATTTTAAGTGAACCTAAATTTTATTAGTATTGCTATAATATTTTAAGGGGATAACTTTAATTTATTATATTTATCTATTATATAAGTTTTTCTAAATTTAGTGATTTTATTTTTAAATTACATTTTGTTGTAAAAATTTAAAAGTTAATTTTTTTTAATTTATCTTATATTTATAATATTTTAAAATTTTGTGATCTTAATATTTTAGAATCTATATTTTTAATTAGATAATTTATTAGAAATCTAATTTTTTTTCGATTTTATATTTTATTATAATTATTATAAGGGAATACATATATTATTTTGATATAATTTTTAATTAAGATTTTTTTTATTTTTAAAATTTTGTAATTTTCTTTTTTTACAGTTTTATACTTTTCATCATATTACTTGAATTTATATGATTTTTTTTTAATTTATATTTTTATTGTATAACTATTATCATTTTTCTTTCTTTCATAATATATATTTACTGTTTTATATTATTCAAGGGGTTTTTAATTATATTTATTTATTATGCATTAAATATTATTTATTATATATTATTATTTTGTTTATTATTTCTATATTTTTTATGAATTTTTATTATAAATATGATACTCTTCTGTTCAATTTAATATCCTTATATATAAAAATTTATAATTTTTTTTTAATGTAATTATTATTCTAAAATTTTGTGATTTCATTTTTTTATATTTTTTTTTAGTTTTTTGATTGAATGTATTTCAATTTTAATATATTATATATTATTTGAAAAATTTTATGTAAATAAATTTTTATTTTTTTTATTTATAACTTTGGTTAGTAAATTCATTATTTTTTTTATTTTATATATTATTAATATTATTAATAATATATAAATTGTGATTCCATTTTTTTAAATTATTTATTTTATTATAAAATTTTCACGTGAATGCATTTTAATTTTTTTAAAAAAATTATTATAAATTATTATTTTAAAATTTTGTGATTTTTGTTATAATTTTAATTTTTATATTAAAGAGAAAATACGAAATCATTTGAATTTTATTTTATATTTATCATATTATTATTTTGTATATATTTAGTAAATTAATTTTTTATTAAATAAATTTATATATATAAAAATTCACGTAAATGCGTTTTTGTTTCTACTTTGAATATATAAATTCGTTTAATACTATATTTATTATTATACAAAATAAAATTTTAAATAATTTTTTTTGAATTCTTTTTTAAATATTATAATTATTATTTTACATTTTTAAGTTAATGCGAAAATGCATCCTCAAACTATTATTTCTGGATTCCGCTCCGCTACGGACGTCGCTAGGAAAACTCTAACGGATTTTAGTAATATTTTCAGTTTATTTTTTATTTCCTTTATTATTTTATTATCAATTTTTAAGCGCTATGATGAATTTTTTTTATAGTTGTTGATTTATAATTTTCTTGAATTTTCTATAATTTTTTTTACTTTTCTAAATAATTTTTGTTTAGTTTTTTTGTTTTTATTTTATTATTTATTTACTTTTTACTTTTTTAATTTTTTTAAACACTTTTATGAATATTTTTTCTGTTGATATTTTTAATTTTTTAGTTTTTCCTTATGTCTATATATTTTGTATTACTTTTATTCACTTTTTTAATTTTCTTTATTGTTTATAAGCATTCCTATAAGTAATTTTTGTATAGTTTTTATTTTTTTGGTTTTAATTTCAATATTAAGTCTTCAAATTTTTAAAATTTTAATTATTTTTAATTTTTTTTACTTTTCTTTATTATTTTTAAGAACTTGTACGAATAATTTTCATGTTTAATTTTTTTGATTTAATCAATTTCTTCTTTAAATTTTGTATATTTTTATATTTTTTTCAATTATTTTTAATTACTTTTATAAATTTTTATTAATTTTTTATTAATTTATTGTTGTTATGTTTCTTTTTTTGCTTATTAGTAACTTTTAAAGTTTGTTTTATTATTATTCAGTTTATTTCATCCATTTAATTTTTTTTAACATTTTACTTTTGATTATGTTTTTTTTGCTTGTTCATAACTAATATACTTTTTTTTATTATATATTATTACTTAAGTTTTATATTAATTAAGTTTATTTTTTTACTTTTATAAATACTTATTATTAATTTTTTTTTTCTTATCACTTTTAAACACTATATTAAAATTTTTTTTACTCAAGTTTTACTATAAATTAATTTTTGTAAATATAACTTTTTTTTTTTTACTTTTTTATATTCTATATTATTTTTTTTGCTTTTGAAATTTTTTTTTTGTATTATATTTTTATTTATTTTTTAGATTCTAGTAGGATAGTGTTTTAGAAATATTTTTTTGAACCTTTTTGATATTAAATTTATTATATTTTGAATTTATTATAGTTTTATTTATTTTGTATAACTTTTCATTTTTTACTATAACAGTTGATTATTTTATTAATAATTGTTCCTATATAAAAGAAATCTCGAATAATTTTTTATAGTTTCATATATATTTTTTAGAAATTAACATCAATTATTCTTTTCTCCTTTTTATATAAATTTATTATGTCTTTATTATATACAACTTTTATGATTTTACGTTTAATTATATTTTATTTGCTTTTTATATATATTTTATACATATTTTTTAAATTTTACTAGTAACTTAACTGTTTTACTTTTTTTTATAAATCTTTTTATTATCTTGTAATTAAGTTTTATATAAATTTTACTTGACATTAACTTTTTTAACTTTTTATATTTGTATTTTTATTAACTTTTTCACATAATTTATATACTTCTTTTTATTTTTATCTATATTATATATAACTCTTCTTTTCTCAAGGCCGGGATCACAGTTCTATTCCCGAACTTTTTAAGCAGGACCTGCTCAACATCGCGAAAACTACGTTGAGCTCGAAAATAATACAACAGGAGAAAGACTATTTTGCAGCGCTCGTCGTTGAGGCGGTTTTGCGTTTAAAAGGTTTTCTTTTTTTGTTTTTAATAATTTTTCTTATTTTTATTTTTTTTTTTAAATTATTAAATATAAATTTTTTATAAAGTTTTTAATATTTTTTCTTTTTAATTTTGTTAATTTTGTTTTCAATTTTTCAATATTGTGTAAATTTATAACTGAATTTTTTTTATTGTTAATTTTTCTTTACTTTTGTGTTAATTTTTTTTTATTATATCTAATTTTTTTAATATATATATTTTTGTTATTTTTAATTGAATTATTATTTATAATTTTATTATATTTGATTTAATTTTTTATAAATTTATTTAGAAGTTTTTTAAAATTTATGATTATTTTTTATATATTTATTTTAATTTTTAATGTTATTTTATAATATTTTGTTTAAATTATTATTTTTATTATAAACTATTATTTTTATTTTTTCTTATAATTTTTTGAGAATTTTTTTTTTAATTTCCTAATTTATTATTCCAATTTAGGTATAAGATTTTGGTTTTTATTTTTATAATTTTATTTTTTTTATTTTTCATTCATTATTGTATTTTTGATTAAACTTTTTAATTTATTTTTAAAATTTTATTTAAATTTTTATATATAAATTTTAGTAATTATTATTATATTTCTTAAAATGCATATTTTATTTATAACTTTATTTTTTTTTAAAAAGACTTTTATATTTTTTAATATTTATTCAAATTTTTTTTATTTATGAATTTATTATTTTTATTATTTTAATTATAATTTTTGATATTTATATTTATTTAAATTTTGTTTATAATTTTTATCAATTATAAATTTTATTTATTATTATTTTTATAATTTGTTTTTTTTATATTTTTGTAAGAAAATTTTATTATTATTTATTTTTTGTATAAAAATATTTTTTTTACGGAGACTTTGAATTTTTATTATTATTATATAATTTATAAATACTAATATTTTTTAAAAAACTTTTCTTTATAATTATTTTCTGTATAAAAGAATATTATTTATTTATAAAATTGTTTATTAATATTTTTTATAAGTTTTCTTTATAATTTATTTTTGTATAAAAAATATTTTTTATTTATTATTATATAGTTTAAAATTATTTATTATTTATTATTTCTGATGTTTTATTTTTTTTATTGTTTAAAAGTTTTCTTTATTATTATTTTTATAATAAATTTTCTTTTATGATTCTTCGCATTTTTATAATTATTATTAGATTATTTAAAATATTTAAATATAATATTTTTATTAACAACTTCATTATTATTATGTTTTGTATTAAATTTTTTTTCATAAAAACCTTGTATAACTTTATTATCATTATTATATTTTTTAATAATAGTTATTATTAACTTCTATGTCTATATATTACTTCTTATTTTTTTTTTTTATTTTTAAAAATTTTCTCTATTTTATTGTTTTCATAAAATATGCTAAAATGACGGCTTTGAATTTTTTTGTTTAAAAATATTTATTATTAATAAATAGTATATATATTATTTCTTATCTATTATATATTGTTTCAAAATATATTGTTTTTTGTCTATTAAAAAACTTTCTTTATTATTATTATTATTTTTTGTATATAATTTTATTATTTAAGATTATTCATTATTAATATTTTTTAATATATTCATTATTTTTTTTATTTTATTATTTTTTAAAAATTTTCTTTATTATTAAATTTTGTATAAATTTCTTTATGAAGACTTTGAATTATTTTATTATTATTAGATTTTTATATATTATTTCTTATCTATTATCTTTCTTATTGCTGTTAAAAAATTTCTTTATTACTATTTTTTTATAAAATATCCTTTACTTGAAAACTTTGTAATTTTATATTTATTATTATTTTATTAATATTTTTTTAAAAACTTTTTTTACATAAAAAATTTTACTTTATTTTTATTTTAGTAAACCTTTAACTTTTATAATTTATTTTTATTATATATTATTTATATATAAAAACTTATTATTATTTTTTATATACTATTTTTATAAAAACTTTATTTATTAATTTTTTTCATAAACCTTTTTTGTTCAGGTTCTACTAATATCGACTCCATTCATATTATAAAGAAAAGTGGAGGAACTTTAAGGGATTCCTTCTTAGATGAAGGCAAAATATATATAAAGAAAAAAGTTTATATTTAAAATATAATAATAATTAGTAGTAGTTAACTTTTATAAATAAGTTCTATAATAAATATAGTGATAAGTAACTCAGTTTAACAAGTATTTATAAAAAAAATTAAAGTTTTTAAATAGTAAAAATAATATTAAACTTAATAATACTTATAATAAAAATAAATTATTTTACTTTTTTGCTGTTTCTGAAAGGTTTATTAGAAGTTGATAGTAAAAAATAATATACTTATAAAAGTTTTTGAACACTTTGAAGTAAAAATATTTAAATATTATTTTTATATTAAGAGGTTTTTTAAGTAAAAAAAACTTTTTTATGTTTAATATTTATTATAAATTGTGAAAAGTAATATTTTTATTTCTAAAAACTTCTTTTTGAAAACTTTAAAGTAAAAATAATATTTTGAAATATCTTTAATAGAAAAAATATATTTTTATATATTAAAATTTTTGAAAACTTATACGTAAAAGAAATATTTATTAAAATTTAATGTTTGAAATTTATTGCTATAAAAAAAAAATTTTATATCGAAGTTTTATCATAAACTTATAAGTAAAAATAATATTTTCTTAACTTTTTTGTATTTAAAAGTTATTTTAAGAATAAAAAATATATATTTTTAGAAACTTTCTCGCAAACTTTTGGGTAATAATAATAATTTATATAATTTCTTTACATTTAAAATTTATTATACTAATTAAAAATTATATTTTTATATTAAAACTTTTTTCGAAAACTTTTTAAGGTTTCATATTGGAGAAAAAAATTGGCGTGAACCAACCAAAACGCGTTGAAAATGCTCGAATTCTCATTGCTAATACTGCCATGGACACCGATAAAATAAAAGTTTTTTCTTCTTCTTCTTATTACTAATAGTTTTATTTTTACTTAAAAAAATTTGTTATTAGTTTTATGAAAAGTATATATTTTTTTCTAAAACTTTTATTTGTTATTTCATATAAAAAAGTTTTAATTTTTTAATAAAAAAGTAAAGAAATGCACGGAATGATGGCAGTATATTTATAAACATGTAATAATATTAATTTTATTCTAATTGTTAATAATTTTTGGTTACTTTAATAAAATATTTATTTATTTTGTAAAAAGTTTTATTTTTATATATATATATATATAGAATAGCTTCGCTTAAAGTAATAATATAAACATTTTTAAAAATCTATAATGTATTATAATATAAATATTTTATTACTTTTTTTTTTTATAAAATTTTTATTTATTAGTATAAAAGAATTATTATGTATAAAATAAAAGTATTTTTAGTAATAATAATTATTATTATTTTTAGTAGTGTTTATTTATTATTATTACTATTATAAAAAGTATTATATTTATATATAAAAAATTAGATATGCACGAAATAATATTATATATTTTTAAAATAATAATAATAATTATTATTAGTTTTGTTAATTATTTTTTTTCTTTTAAAAATTTTTTTAATTATTATTATAGTAAAATGTTTTATTTTTATTTCTAAAAATAGAAATGCACGAAATAATAAATAAAAATATTTCTAATAATTACAACAAAACCTTTTTTTGTTAGTATTGTAATAATTTTTTTACTTGAAATTTTTCTTTATTATTATTATAAAAAGTTTTATATATGTATATAATAATAATAAATAATTTTATTAGTATGATATTTATTTTTCTTACTTTTTTAAACCTTATTATTTTTATAAAAAGTTTTCTTATATAACTTTAATATTTATAAAATTATTAAGAGGTTATCATAATAATGATAATATATCGGTAATATACGTTTACTTATTATTACTAAGGAAAAGAATATCCTTTTTTTTATTTATTATTATTAGAATGCAGCGATTTTTATATTTCTTTACTTATTATTATTATGGAAAATAATATTTATAGAAAAATAACATTCTTATATACTTTTAGTTTTTATTATTATTAAAATTTATATATCCATTTCAATTTTTTATTATTAGTGAGTTATTAGTAATACTTTTACTTATTAGTTTTATATTTCTACCATTATTTATTATTATTAATTTTTATTGGAATTGTATTATTTCTTATTTTTATAACTATTGAAAAATTCACTATTAATATTATTTCTTCTTTTAATAATTATTATTTATATATATTTATGAGATTATGAAATTTACTATTATATTATATTTTTATTATTATTATTTTAAAATTTACTATTATCATTATTCTTTCATTTTTTTTCTATTATTTTAAAAATTACTGTTTATTATTATTTTTTATTTATTATTATTAATAATTTTTCTATTATTGTTTAGTTTACTATTATCATTTTTAAGGTTTTTGGTAGTAAAGTTCAAGTGGATTCTACTGCAAAAGTAGCCGAAATAGAAGCAGCGGAAAAAGTTTTTATATTATTATTATTATTATTATTATTATTATTATTATTATTATTATTATTATTATTATTATTATTATTATTATTATTATTATTATTATTATTATTATTATTATTGAAAAGCTCCGCATGAAAAATAAAGTAAACAAAATCCTCAAGCACGGCATTAACTGTTTTATTAATCGTCAGGTATTCTTACTTTGATTGGTCAGTTTATTAAACATGGTAAACGGTTGTTGGCGCATTTTTTTTTATTTTTTATTTGTTATTTATACCATTATTATAAGATTTTTAAATATATATTGAATGTTCTTATTTTTACTTTATTATAGCTTATTTTTTTTTTTTTACTGTTTTCTTTACGTTTAATATATAATAAAAGAAAATAGTTCTTTTTGTAGGGATTAAATAATAATTGTTATAAACTTTCAAAATAAATATACACATATTTAATAATAATATTTATTATTATTGAATATATAATTTTAATCGTAACAAAAAATAAAATAATAAGTAACTTTTTTTTTGCTTCAGTTAATCTATAATTTTCCCGAACAACTTTTTGCTGAGGCGGGCTGTATGGCCATCGAGCACGCGGACTTTGAAGGTATATTTTAACACAGAATTTATTATTTGTATCGTCCATATTATTATCACTTGCACGCTTTATTACTACTTTTCACCGTCTTTTTCTATTATATTGCAGGGATTGAAAGACTGGCGTTAGTTACGGGCGGTGAAATTTGCTCAACTTTTGATCACCCTGAATGTTATTATATAGTTATAATATAATAATATTATTAATTATAATAAAAATTAATGTAGCCGTCAAGCTGGGCACGTGCGATCTGATTGAAGAAATAATGATTGGCGAAGACAGTTTTATTCATTTTTCTGGCGTCCAATTAGGAGCCGCCTGTACTATTGTTATCCGTGGAGCTACCAAACAGATTTTAGATGAGGCTGAGCGTTCTCTTCACGACGCTCTTTGTGTCCTCTCACAAGTCATTATTATTATTATTATTATTATTATTATTATTATTATTATTATTATTATTATTATTATTATTATTATTATTATTATTATTATTATTATTATTATTATTATTATTATTATTATTATTATAAAAGTATAAGCGTTGGTTTGTAGTAAGAAACAATGACAAATATATCCTTGCCTTTGATTGACTAGGTCACTGTTGATCCACGTGTCGTTTACGGGGGTGGCTGCAGTGAGATGGTGATGAGCACGTCAGTTGACCAGCTGGCGGCTGCTTCCAGCGGAAAGGAGTCTTTTGCTATTGAAGCGTTTTCCCGCGCGTTGCGGCAGGTTTTCCTTAATTTTTTTTGTCAATAATATTTATGAAACTTTTTTCAGTTCAAATTTTTGGCCGTCGTATATTTTATATATAAATAAAATTTTTTATATCCAGCTTCCTGCAATTATTGCTGATAATGGCGGATATGACGGTACCGAGTTAATCTCGCAACTTCGCGCAGCTCACGTGCAAGGAAACAAAACTTTTGGGCTTAGTAAATTTTTACTAAAGAAATTTAGAAAGTTTTCTATTTTTTTTGTCATTTTCTTTTGCTTGAAGATATGACAAGCGGCTCAGTGTGCGATATGCAAAAGCTCGGAATTTTAGAATCATTTAAATCAAAATTGCATATGCTCCTCTCCGCCTCCGAAGCTGCGGAGATGATACTCAGAGTGGATAATATATTAAAGTTGTTATTGCATTTTTTTAAAAGTGTGATATTAAACGTTTTCTTGTTACAGGGCGGCTCCTCGAAAACGGCAAGATGATGATCTTTGTCGTTAGTCAAACGCCAAATCGTGGCGATTACATTTTTAAATCTGCCACTTTTCTACCAATAAAGATTACTATTCGCATTGAAAATTTTTTTTAATGGAAAAAACTGTTTGCTGTTAGAGTTTAGTAGCTATAGAGATTTCGAAGGGAAGTAGAGACTTCGTGCTGAGGAATAATAAAAATGATTGTTTTCTGAAATTTTATAGAATTAGGCGTTGTATATAACTTACTAAGAAACTTTTATAAAGATCTTTTAGTGCTACATGCTTTTTATTTTATGTGATAACTTCGCTTGAGGTTCCGTATATAAATTATTTAATAAAATTTTATTTTTAAAAGATAGATAATTAAATCAGCCAAAAGTACTAAGAGAAAAAGGCTTTAAAGATGTATTTATTTAACTTTGCCCAACTTTTTGGACAAAGAAAAACCTATAAATTTATTACAGGGTTTTTCTTAACTGGAGTTCTATTGAGGAACATTCATTACGTGCTTTTCTTTAATTGCAAAAGGGTTGTGTTCTCTCTCTCTTTGAGGTCAAGTATGCAATATTATACGATAATAATATCTTTTATAGATGAAGAATGAGTTATATAACACACTTTTTTGAAGTAAAGTCGTTCTAATTATAAAAACCTGTACTCCAAAAAAAATTACCATAAAAAGATTTACTTTCACTTCTACTTAAACTTGATTAAACTTAGCCCTGAAAATGCATAGAATTATAGAAAAACGAAGCACACAACGATGAAAAAATTATAAAGGAGCTAAATATCTATATATATATATATTGCATGCAGTATCAGCTTTAGTTTAAAAAAAAAGTTAAAAGCTGAGAGTCCTTGCACTTATTTAACTTTTTCGAATTCTTGGTATTCTCGCGTGTTAAGCGAAACCGTTCACCATTGAATTCGTTTTGCGATAACCAAAAGTAAAAATGCTTAAATGAAACACTTACATATAACTTGGTTATCTAAATTAAAAAAACATGCTCTCTGAATAAAGGTTTATAAATCGGCAAAGAAATTATACAAAAAATACTATTTTTATTGTGGTTTTTATAATTAGTAAAATAATAATTTTAGGTTAAAGATCTTAAAGTTGAGGAGATTGAAAAAGGAGACTGCTATAATTTAATATTATTGCAATTTTAATAAAAAATAATTAAAACGTATCACTATGCCTTCCATGAAGACTTTGTAGAGAGTCAATCTTGGATTTCTTTATATATAACTTTCGCTTTCAAGGAAAACTTTTAATACTAAACACTTCTAAACAAAGAGGAAGGTGAATTGCATTTCTCTTACTTCTTTTATTATTACTAGGTACGATTTCACAAAGTACAATGTTTGCGCTTGTATTTATTTAAGTTGTAATCCCTCTTATTAAAGTATTCTAAACTGATATTTTTCTCTTCTATAAGCAATCTTTTAGGTTACTCACCAGTACAACATTTTTTTAACTCTTAAAAAATATTTTTCTTTGTCAATTTTTTTAAAAAAAGTTTTAAATATTTAATTAAGAGAAAAGGTGTGGCTACAAACTTATAAAACTTACTCCTTATATACTTTTCTAATAAAAAATTCGTTAGATTTGTTTAACTTCTGTAACCCTTGAGCCTTTAATAGTTTTAATTTGTTATCAAACCTCCTTAACTTTCCTTACATCTACGCTCAAAATAAGGGAACATTGAAATAGATTTAAATATAAACTTTTATAAAGTACAAGTGGAATTATGCAAGTGAAATGGGGTGAGAAGTTGTTAACTTTAAATCTTTAAAGAAAATGAGTAATTCCAGTGAGCGGCAAGTAAAAGCTTGAATATATAAATTTTGTAATTGTTAGAGCATTTAATATGCACTTATATTTCTTTTTAGTAAATTGTTATGATATTGAAACAACCAAAAATAAATGAAGAAGACAATTATGATAAGTCGAGCCTAAAAAAAAGTTCATCAACAGTGTCTAAGCTTGCTTGACCACGTCCTTTCTAACACACGCGGTAGCTAATGAAAATTTTATTCAGCCAATTTTTTCATACTATATCGATTGACTTAAACTGGAATCAGCAACTAGCAAGTGCCAACCCATCGGTCCCCTGTCAGCACTCGGCAAAGTGGGTGAGGTCGTTGACGAAATATTCCAATTCGGATTTCGGCATGGGCACTCAACTACCCAGCCGCTCCTCCGCTTAACTGAATGGACCACTCGTGCTTTTAACTTTAAGAGATAGCAGGCGCTGTCTTCCTTAATGTTGAAAAGGCATTTTATCAAGTTTGGAACGAAGGCCTGCTGCACAAACTGAGCTCAATCCGTTCCTCATGGTCTTCACAACATGCTTGTCATATATAAATGACCACGTCTTCAGCGTGCGCGTGGGAGGTACACAGTCGCCGCTTCGAATCTCTGACAGCAAGGGTTCTTCAAGGGCCCGTTCTTTCCCCTCTTATTTGCAATATATATAAGCGACATGCTCTAGCCATTAAGTCCACAGACGCGATTCGCTCTGTACGCCGAAGATACGGCAGCTTACTCATCGTCGAAGCCTCCCGCCTTATTATGCAAGCATCGACAGCGCTATCTTGACACCCTTACTGACTGTGCCGTATTTGGAAGGTTTCTCTAAATGCGATAAAGGGCAAAGCGCTTTTAATTACTAAAAAACGCATCCCCTTGTGAGCGAAGCCTTAACTTTTGATGGCGTGAAAATTCCATATTGTTCTCAACCGAAATACTTGGGGGTCTTCATTGACCACAAACTCTCTTGGCAGCTGCACGTGGACTATCTAGTGATGAAGGTCAAGATAGCAACTAAGGCTCTAACCCTTTATTATGCACTAAGAGCAAGCTTTCTCTGCGAAACAAACGGCAAATTGTATGTCTTAAATCCAGCCGATAATGGCGTACGCATCAGGTGCTTGGGCCTACGACCCCAGTGTAATAGATCAGCATTTCAAGTGCGACAGAAAAAACTGCTGCTCGTGATGACAAACGGGTCGAGGTTTGTGCGAGTGGAGCTCTTCACCGGGACCTGCAACTGGACCTTTTACGTGTCGTCTTCAATGCCAGTTGCGGCAGGGTAGTCTAGCATACTAATCGTTTGCAGGTGAGAGAACTTGCTTTCGAGCCATGGGACGGGTCACGTTATCACTGCCCACGTGACTAGCGTAAGAGCTAATTTATTTTTATTAATGACAAGAAAATAATGAGACTGATTGAAAGCTACTTTGTAATAAGTCTGATCACTCCTGGTTGAGAGCTCAGTATTCGAAGTTTTATTAATCGATCGGGCACCAAGAAGTTATTTTTAATAAATAAATTAAATAATAAATTAGTTAATTGGCTTAAAGATGTACATTTTTTATTATTTCATTCCACAATAAAGCTATTAACAAATTTCAGCTACCGGCAAGTTAAGACTAGTGGTCTCAATAAATATCGAGAATATGTGAAGAGCACATGTAAAACGCAAGTTTTTGTTTCTTTTCCTGTTTTAGCCCTGGTGAAGAGTAGCGAACAGAAATAGTTCAACAAATTACATATACATATATAATTCTTAGCGTTGAAAAGTTTTTAAATACACGTTATTGCGCTCAATATCTTACAAGTGTGAAAACTAAGCCCTAACAAATTTTTAAAGAATTGTTTGAATTTAGCAACAGGTGGACCTTGCCTCTGTCTTTTATCGGAGAAGTAACATTTACATTTTGCGAGGAATAATTATGTCTCAAGTAATTTAAAAGATTTGTAAAATTTAAGGAAACTCATTATACGATCGACTATAAAAACTTTATTATTACCGTTATTTCACCACTTGAAAATTTTAATTAGAAGTGGATGGTTTTCACTACCTCCAGTAAGTACATTTATATATATATCATTAATAGATATTAAATATTGTGAGTAAAATGGAAAAGAAGTATGAGACTATATCTTTGTAATCTATTTAATCAATTAGAGAACGAGAAAGTAGAAAGAAATTCTGAGTTATAATTAACTTCATTAAATAAGCACCCGTTTTGTAGAAAAGATTTTTATAAGCTTACTAGCAATTATATTAGGGTTAGGAGCCTGATTCCATTGAAGTTTGTCGAAAATGTCCTTGAAATTTTTTTAGTACAAAAATAATAATACTGAGCTATATATGCTTGTATTAGGGATGTTTTAGCAGCTTATCTGTTCAAGGGCCGTTACATAAACTTACAACGTAAAACCAAAGAAAACAAAAAAAAAAAAGAAAAGTAACGGTGTGCATTTCCAAGAACTAACTGCTTTAATATAAGAAGCTTACACAATGTATATACTAAGCTTAAATTCATGATTCTTATAATGATTCCCCTTTTTTTAATCTTTATATTAAACCGCCCAGTCTCTATCGTTGATGCCGGTTTATTAATGTAGTAATTTAGCTCCAACAGAACGCCATATTATTTTTACTTTAAAAGCTAGTGTTTCAAATCTTATAATAGAGAGAAATGGTATATAGATATTTTAAGAGTAGAGCTCTTCTCTTAAGTATTACATTTATAGCGAATTTTTTTTTTTAAATAATGATAGAACTCATCTACAAAACTTATACATACAAATAGTCTAACCTAGTAACAGGACACCCAAAAAAACTATTAAGGATATAAATTAACTAATCACAACAAAAATATTTGGTATAATGAAAATAATTTTCATATAATTGAAGCAGACAATAATATATATAAACATGGCAGTTAACGACTTTGTAGTATTTTAAACATTAATGTAAACAAATTAGATCCCCTTAACCAGTATTTTTTGTAAAATGTTTATATTTTCTTAATAGCTACAATAAGCATGATAGCCCCTTTTTTTGGTTCTTGTCTTTTTCCTATTAGCTTTTTTAGATGTGGTCAAGTTTAACCAACCCACCTTATTGCAACAATAATCGCGAGAATATTTCAACGGCATTAATGATGGAGACCGGTTGGTTAACTTAAAGGTTTTTAACAGAAAGAGAATTTAAATATCTTAATAATCGTATCTTTTTTGTGAATATAAAGCGTAAGTTTCTCACAATAAAAACAAATGTTTTTTGAATTGCGTTCTGTTACTTAATA